ATAACTTCTTTTTTTTAAATTATCATTGTAACTGATAATTTTGTGTCTCATTATTCCAGGAGGATTACAAGCTGTATACTATTTCAATTTATTTATCACCTTAAAGCCATTGAAATAAAATAAAGACATTATATTCAGATAAGGTCTTTCAAACAACTGCTACTTTATGGAACACTTCCAGAAGACAGCAATCTTAACCTCTTCATCTTAAAGTTCAATCGTCCATACCAATTACCATTCAGTAACGCTCGAATTGAGTGGATCTTCAACCATATACTGGTGTACATTATTTTTAGTTTTTATATTTTTCTTATACGCACCAAAGGTATCTCTTTTGTAATGAATGAGAGTTTTTTTTTCCTTTTAAATAAACTCAATAATTTTTTTAAAAATATTTCAATTATGAGAAATGGTAAATCAAGTATAGTTTTAATTTTCTTTTATTTTTACGGAGCTTTTAAAATTTCAATTTGTTAGATGTTGAAAATATTCTATTAAAATGTCAAGATTGCTTATATCTGTTTACTCTCAAACGAGCTAAAATGGTTTAATTTGAATATCGAAGCAGCTTAATTGGAAAAGCCATCAACAAAAAAAAATCGCTTATTGAGAAATTTGGCAAACGACCAAAATAAAAACAAAACAAAAAAAATTGATTTTTAAAATTCATTTTTTTAACTGAATATGTAAATTAGTTGCGTCCTTCAATTAAGAAACGTCGAAAAAAAAAACGCTCTCTGTTTTTCTGATGACACCGCTTTAAATAATAGTTTTCACCTTATATGTCTAAACATAAGTGTCTTTTAGTTTCCATTTTCCCTTAAATATTCCTCAGTATTTACGATATTGAGTCTCCCCCCCCACTGGGGCAACATGTGACACAAGGTCGGTTGTTTATTGTGGGTATTCCCGAGCCCGTGAGCTCGGCCCAAAAATATGCCCGTTTGAACCCGTATAAACGGGTTCAGGGCCGGTTTTACCTCCCCGAAGGAGACTCCGCCCTTCGGCGTAGCCTCCTTCGGGTTCCTCTCCGTCCGATCAGTCTGTTCAAAAGTGAACTCACTTCCTCAGTATTTACATTGCCCTTCAATGGTTTAAGAAAAAAAAAACACTTTGTGTGTGTGAAAGGGATGGATTTTTTTTATTTAATAATCTGACAGACTTTTATTAATTAAACGTTATTTTTAGTAGATACTCGTATTTGAATAAACGCTTCGGTTATTTATTAAACGATATATTTGTTTATTTTCGTCTACCGCCGTGAATATACGAGGAATCTTATGAGAGAAAAATATACGCTCTCTAGGAGGATTCGAACATGCGTCCAGCTAGGGGAAACCGTCATATATTTGACATGGTTTATTATATGGGTTTAATTAATATTTATAGAAGCGCCGCAATCATTTTTTGCATTCATTTGATGATGTTATGGATGCAGTCTTTCGAATTATGCTATCCATCAATTCTTCGGGATTATTTGGGTATCCATCTTCGGGATTATTGGGGTACCCATCCTGGATTTGAAATCCAAATTCTACTACATGCAAATGTTGCTCATTACGATTGATATCCTGTAACTGAAAATTGCTTTCAGTTTTACATGAAACAATCTGATCCTATTTTGATTTGTTTTAAGCAATTCACCCCAAGCAAGGCAGGAGTGCCACTAGCACGTACGGGGTTACAGAGGATTGGTAACAAGAGCAAAGAGGCGTTTGTGAGAAATGATGCAGAGAAGGATAGGGAACACGATCAAGGTATCAGAAGATATCCATTAACATTACACTTGAATATTGGAAGATTATAGTTATCAGGGAAGCAAGTAAGAAGAAGAGGATTTCCTCAGAAGTGCGAGAGAAGAAGCCGCTTGACTAGAAGAGGTGGATATATTTAACAGATTCACAGGTGAAAGGATGGGACCGAGACTTCAATGTAGTAGCACGCTTAAATTCATGCAGTCTGGGAACCAGAGAAAGTAGTTCGTCGGAACAGTTGCCGTGAAAATACTTGTAGAAGAGATAGAGAGAAGCCACAGCAGTCTGTGAGAAAGTGACGAGATGACAGATCAAGATCTATCGCATTGCATATTCTTCTCTATATTTTATTGATTATAAACTCAGACGAGAAAAAACTTTCTGGTACGACACAGAGAACCAACTTTCCTTGCGGTAGATGAAGCTATTGATTCAATCTATTTGTTCCACCTCATGTTGTGGCCCGGATAGATCTCCTACTGTAAGTGGCAATAAGCGAATGCGTGCATCGTATGTCATAACATAAGGCATGATCAGGCTGAGACGTTTAAAGTGAAATCTGTTGGTATCAAACTAGTATATTTCTATATTTAAAGCTTAACATTTCACATGCGAGTCTTTTATAATAGTATCAATCGTTATTTAAAATATACGTGTGATGACCACAAAATAGTAATTGTCCTCATCTTTGTTTCGGACACATGCCTAGTGGATTCGTATTGTTTTGTGGATTTGGAGAGATAGTAATTGTCTGGTCAATCTTTTGGCTGCCAGTGGAAAACGGCAGGCACTATATGAATAGTACTAAAAATAAGAACTAGACTATATATTTTTTTGACATGCCCAGTAAAGTGAGAACAGTTCAACCCCGTAGATTGAATAATGAAATCCCTGAAGTATTCCTGGATCGATATATGCCTGATGAAGGCTGCAAGACCGAAAAGTTGTGATGACAACAACAACGATATAGACAGTAGTCCGAATATTAAATGGTGAAAATAATAACCCCTTTATTCCAGGCGTTCAGACAAAAAAATGTGCCACAATTTTTGCTGGCGTGGACAAAATTCTGCACTTATATATTTCAATAGTCACATATTATGAACTATGATGTTGAGAACTCAACAAAATGTGTAGTCTTTTTCCATCCCATGGGTAAACATAATTTTACAAAGCTTTAGTGAGTAGTCCTCGGTCTGACCCATTTAGCAAAATTAATATTTCGATGTTCAGTTATCAGTATTTTCATTGTTATCTTTATTTTTACTAGCTTAAAAGCCGCCCTATCGGGTGTCATTTAAACTAGCTCCTTTGAGGAGATTGTTGATTGGGCCTTGGACTTGTTCAGTAGTTTGAGAGTCCCTAAGTCTTTGCATATTCTCAGCACTGGAGGCTTTCCTGGCTACCATTTGATCTGTGTTTTCATTTGCATGGGACTTTCTTTTCCTTGCTGTACCCTTGGTTTTTTTCATCGCATTCTGGACCTCTGTTGGCGGAGATGTCTTTTAGGGAGACTTTCTGCTGCCGTATGTGTTACGCAACAATAAACTACAGATGAACTCAAAATTGATCGCTGCTTTTCATTAATATTTATGCTTAACTTTTAAGTCCAATGATAATTCTTCTGCCGCCACGTAATTTAAATTCAATTTGATATACATATGTTTGTTTTTAATTTCCGTATAAACAATTATTTTATATCAGGGGTGACTTTCGCTGGATTTCACATTTAATTTCAATTATTCCCAAATTTATTTATAAGTTATAAAAATTGTTATCGTACAAAAAAATTCCTTGCAAAAAATCCCGTAAAAATATCTCCAAAAACAATTGTAGCAGTGTGATGTAATGAATAACCAGTCGACCCCATGAATGATTACACTATAGGTGTAAGTACCTATAAAGTCAACCGTCTACGTGAGATTCGGGAGGAGAGTGAGATGCAAGATGTTCGACCTTTAAACCCAATTAGTGGAATCTTAAATACCGAGTTCGACCTTCCAATTAGTGGCACTCACTACTAGATTGACCTGTGTTTATAACTTTACCGTATTTCATAGTACTGGTTGTGTACAATAAAACTTTCTTCTAGTATCCACCTGGTGTTATGTGTTTATTCCCTTAGCACGTAATATAACAATGAAAATTTTGGAATATAGAATTTCTGGATTGCAAGTCTACATCCGGACAGAAATGTTTTCAATTTGTTCGCACAGCTAAGAGTAAAGGTGAAAAGGTTTGACACACTGGCATTCTCAATTATTTATACAGATTTAATTTTATTTCCTTGATTGCATTTTGTTTTTGTTTATTTAATGAAGTTGAAAAACTATGAGACAACTATTTTGCAATGTCGAAAGAATATACTGAATAATATTTTATTTTAATGATTCAAGATCGAACTCCCTCGGCGGAAGCAAACTATTTGCATACCATTGAACTATCTTGATTGATTCTTTTTATACAATTAGTTTATTACAATTAGTCAGCATATTGGCAGTTTCATAGTCGTGTTACAAGTAGTTAATCTGTTGGTTGTTCTAAACTTAAAATAGCCCTTTGTTTATTCCGTATAAAATATGAAAACATGTAATTTTCAAAACATTATTATTCGTATGGTCTTCCATAGATATAAGTATCATTTTTTTTTAATAATTCTCAGCCAAATACACTTAAAACAAGTTCGGATAAGAATAGTAATAATGTCTCTGTGATCATCTGAGCAGCAGCGAAATGTTAATTGATGTCGCATCTGATAGCTTCAAAGACGTGTGGGACAAAACAGACTCTCGTATCTTATTTATGGACCATCGTTCTCTTTTGATTGCCTCATTTCAGTTTTACGTTTGAATAATCAAGTGTAAACTTAATGATAGTAATGTGGACATTGTAAAAATGTTCAGCGTTCAAAATAATAATTAGTTGCAGCGATTGTGACAAATCAGAAAGATAAGAGAGAAAAAAAATTGAAAAAGACGAAATGCAATGAGATTAAAAAGGAAAGAAAGAAGATAAAGAAAAATTCTAAACGTCAATAAAATTATTAATAATAACAACTTGTTTTAACCCGTGAAAATTTTACGGTTTTCCAATTTTAAATATTCTGATATTTCCTATCGCTTCGTTAAATATTTGAGCTTAACAACTTTAACGAAATATTAAAATAAAAATCATAAATATGATGCTGGTCGTTATTTTAATTAGGGCGTACAAGATGTGTGATTTACAACTTTTTCCATTTCACAGAAACAGACGTGAAACACTTCTATCTACCCTTCTTTCTTTCTTTCTTTCTTTCTTTTTTTTCTTTCTGTTTTTCTTTTTTTCTTTCTTTTTCATTTTCTTTCCTTTCTTTATTTCTTTTTCTTTCTTTCTTTCTTTCTTTTCCTTTATTTCTTTTTCTTTCTTTGTTTTTTCTTTCTTTTTCTTTTTCTTCCTTTCTTTTTCTTTTTTCTTTTTACTTCTTTTTTTTCTTTCTTTCTTTTCTCATTGAAAGATCTTTCCGCTTCATCAAAACGGAATACTCTATTATTTATGATAGGCAGGACGTAACGGTGGTGCGAACTAAAGAAGAATTATACGAGTACAACAGCAACAACAACAATAATAATAATAATAATAATAATAGTTTCCTTACAAGTACTGGTTGATCGAGCAACCAGTACTAGTCGCTGTTGAAGTTTAGAAAATATTTTTCAGGAAACTAGCTTTATCCAGTCCAGTAGCTGTAATAACACTTTCCAGTAAATACGGGGCATTGCCTCCTAACCTTTTATCTGAAGTAGTGTGGAATGTCAGCAACTTTCTGTTCGCGTTAATGTCATCCATTTTAGCTGTTGCTTCTGTCAGCCGTGTCTAGGTAATATCTTATTAAGAACAGTAGTTTATGATTCTGTAGCGGCAGTCTATAATGTTTGAAGAAGGATAGTCTCCGCCAGGATATTCAGGATTCACTCGCTTAAAGCCCGTTTTAATCGGTGACCTGGGAAAGCGGTTTAGATATTTCTGAAAGTCTATTATTAATGAGATATTGGCAGGGCGTAAAGGTCGTGAGCACTAAAGAAGAAAGAGACATGCATAATTATAAAATGATAATAATAATAATAATAATAACAACAACAACAACAACAATAATAATAATAATAATATAAAGCTTATCGTCCAGACTTCGTGATCTGACACCACAAAAACAAAAATATGCTCTCTTATTGACATAGCAGTCCCTGCAGACTGTAATGTATATTTGAAGATCTTTAAAAAACTATGAAATTGAGTTACATTATTGAATACCACATTTTCAGATAACCCAAGCCTTGTAAAAAGTTCACGCAATAATTTAATCCTTATTGCTGTAAGTCTCTATCTCAGGCCAGTTTGGGAAACTGTCAACCACAATTAAATAGTATGAATCATTTCTGGCCCAGCAAAGTATAAATGCAGACTTACACACGGTTTATCAGTTCTAGGCCATGTCTGCTAATTCATAAGTGAGGATTCTGCTGCCGAATTACAATCATTACATTTTCAACTGTATTTTTGATATCTTTGTCCAATACACTTAGCTTCCCATCAAGGACTTCATTCCCACTATTCCCGGATGTTCTACGTGAAATTATTTTAAAAATCCTTTTTTTGTAGGAATAACAGAATTACTATGTATTCCATTGTAAATAGAAAATGTTGTTCACCGGTTTAATTTTAATTTCACTCCATTTTGACGTAACAAAATTCAGAGTTTTTTTTTTTTTTTTTTTTAATAAAAGTAACGTTAGTAACCTTTTTAGAATGAATTTTGATATCGTTTATCGTGACCAGCAATTCTTTAATATTGTTATCCACCAGAATTTTAATTTCGCTTTCGGATTCCTGCGAAGCAATCACAGTATCTACAAACTCTTCTTAATCTTTCGATATCAATCAGGATAAGCCATCTTCGTGTCACGATTTCTTTGAGAATAGAAATTCCATCTTGAAATCATAGTTCAACAAAATCGTAGCTCTGTCGTCTGTTTGCAGTAAGTGTTTATAGAATCGAATATACTTAATAATGGACGGTGATCAGTTTGCAATATCAATCTCCTTCCTAATATGCATCCTGTGAAATTTCTTTACAACAGATATAGAAAGCCTTTTCATTTCAGTTTCACTGTAGCATTTTTCCGTATTTATCAAATCAAGTTCTCATATGTACAATTTGTCTGTGGGGTGTGTGAAATAACATTTAAAAATTTAATAACTCCAGTGAATATTTACAATTGAAACAATGATTATTTACAAGAAAATAAAACAGTGTTAGTAATAACACGCCACAACCACAAGCCTTAAATGTGGCAGAAATATCAGGTAACTGGTCGAAATTAATGAGGACTTTATAAAAAAATAAAACTAATCATTCGACTAAACATTGACTTAAACATACACTCAATCAAAAGCGAAAAAAAGAACACACACGAAAATCGAAAGGCATAACTAATCACCTAACAGGAACGGGATGAGCAATTAGACATTGGGGTCAAAATTAAATGGGCAATGAGCGTACATTTCTGGAGCTAAATTAAATTTGACAGAGAAAGTTAAAAACAAAACAAAACTACTTTATTTTATTTTGGGCCGGGTTGCTAAGGTTTCCCCCCCAGAAATTTCCCAATATACTTAATGCATAACCCCGCATCAGAAACGCCACTCAGTCAGCAAACTTTACTCGGCCCAAACGCGTAAGACACAACTCCCCCCGCAACACACACTTTTTGCCAAATTCTGATGGATGGAGCCGTTTCATTTCAGTCCTGATCTTCATTTTAAGCTGATGCCTAAAGAACCAGACTAGTTGGGAAGAGGTAAACCTCTCGTCCCCGTAGAATTCATTCTGTCGCGTCGTCCATATCACGACTCGCATAACTCCTACTATGCAAAAGAACACATAATGCTCAGTGGTAGTCAACGGTGGTAAAACATTGCTACAAAGAGAAAAAATTGCGAGAACAAAGAACTTCCCGCGCAGCATGCGAACGGTGGTGTCTTCGAAAAACTTACACAACGAATGGAAGAAGGCGTGACCGAGGATGTATATCGCCTCACCTCCGCGAACGCAGTTAGGAAACCACCAAAGAAAGTATTTTGCTGACACATACGGCCTTTCGAATTACCAGCCAGGTGAGTGATGGCTTATCGATAGTAAGGTGTTTCAACCCGGGCGACCAGGACCATATTGAGCGTGTCTCATCCTTTGTAATGCAGTGCTCAGTTCAACCTGGATCTACTCCCAAACTAGCGCATGATATAACGCCTTACGAGTATACCTGATGGGCCATCCGTCGCCCGTAATAGTATATTGAGAGCAAACCGACTGTCACGATAGAAGGAGCACTAGCATCCGGGAAATCGTGGGCCTTTTTCCTTCACACTTCTCAGGGAATGAAGTTTTCCGGACCTCTTCCTTCCAGAATTCTCCATTCTCATCCAATTGCAAACGTATCCGGTCAAGGAAAGTGATGCGAAGCGCATGTTGAGAAATCTCAACACAAGGTATGCCCAGGTAGCTTGCAGAATGATGGAGAGATTTGTTAGAAATCTCTCGACATACCATTGGAACCTTGCTTCCAACAAGTAGCAGAATAGCATTGCTAAACCCAATAGCGTAGCAGACTGGAGTGAAAGAAAGGTGAGTCGATAAAGGAGAATCGAGCAGATGTGCGAGGCACATACTTACGCCCTCCCCCTTAAGGAAGGATTCTTTCGAGTCTATAGGCGAACTGCGACCTCGGTCTTCCCTAGCACCTCCGACCAATTAATTTCCATGAGGAGAATAAGAAAGGTCCGCACCAAACCGCAAGCCAACAAACTTATAGCGGTTTATCTTGGCCTCTGTCACCATCTCGTAGCCTCTGATTTCTGGTCTGCTCGCCACAAGAACCGAACATCGTCACCATAGGCGGAGTTCCTTTGTCACTTTTCGTCCGTGAAGGACGGGATTCGTCTTCAGCGGACGAAGTTTGTAAATGCGCAAAGAATTAACCCACGAAAGTTTTAAATAGAAAAAGCGCTATCATTTTCAACTTGTTACATACATGATGGTATTTGAGATGTTACAGTTATAGTAAAATTTTGTTGACCAATATATGTTCTCTAAATTCAGTAGATTCGGAGCTTGGAAGGCGGTTTCTAAGAATCAGACTTTATTTTCATATGCTGCTGTGATGTCGACATAGCATATATAGCATTTCCTATTAGACCCTTTATATAGTTTCCTGCAGTTGTTTGATATATATAAGCCATCACTGCATCCCGTACCAGAACAAAAATCCATTTGGTTCATAAGGAGTTGACTTTAATAATATATTGTGAGCCAAGACATTTTCACTAATACCTTCGCCACAATAAATTCAATTGAGGTACCTGTGAGGTTATTAAAGGATAATATTTTGTTTCCTTAGTGCATAAATACGTGATAAACAAAGCTTTCTTTGGAATTCAGTTCTGATTCCATATAATAGAGAAAATTGTTATTGAATTCGCGATGAAAGTAATTTATTTTCAAAAGTTTCAAAATCAAGTGACGCTACTTCAATTTCTTTTTAGCTCTTATAGCTTTCTTAATTTCCAACATAAGTAGCTTCATTGTCTTTTTATGTTTGGAGATGCATTTTATAATGATTGATACGTATTAAGATAACTGGGGCAAATTTATCAACCAACTTTTGTGGTATTTTTGATTCTATGATATATTGGGGTTTTTCACTTTTCTTCATATTTAACACATTTTTATGGAAAAATTCAAATTTTCAAAGATATTGATTTCTTAAATATAAATCAATTGTTTAGCATTTTCCTTTTCATTTTCCTCTTCTATTTGTTTCTTTTTGAGAAGAAAAGTTGGAATCTTTTTTCCTGTGGAATCGTCTCACGTAATAGAATAGTAGATATGAAAACATTATTTGATTCCTCTGTGTTGTTTTTCAGCAAGATTTATTATCAGATTGGACTGATCACTTTTTTTATTGTTTTCATGTTGTTTGTATGTTATACATACATATATATATATATATATATATATATATATATATATATATTAAGACATTTTTCCATTTCTGCATTCTTTTAATGGATGCAAATATTTAAGCTGTTTTATAAAAACCGCACCGGCCTATATAAAACAAAATCATGGTAAATTGTAGTGCAAAACAGTAAAATCGACGTTGCTAACTTGAAACACTCCTCTGTGGCGAAATCGCTTGGATACAGGTTCGATTCCTGTCGGAGGACGCATATTTTCTATGAGAATTTATCGGACATTCAGGCAAGTAAATGTTGTTATAATTATAAACAGAACTTAAATATTTGTATCTATAAAAAGAAATGTATAAACATGAAAAATGTCTTAAAATTTCTTGTTCAATAATATTATTCACGGCAAAAACAAACAAAGTTTGTCAATTTAGTTACCTTTAGAACGATTCAAGATTGGACTTCTGCAATCCAACATGTATCACAAAC